CGTGGTGGGGTAGCACGTGGTGTGGGTGGTGTCGTCGGAGTGGGGTAGCTCGTGGTGCGGTTGGTGTCGTCGTGTCGTGGTGGGGTAGCACGTGGTGCGGGTGGTGTCGTCGTGGAGGAGTGGGGTAGCACGTGGTGCGGTTGGTGTCGTCGTGGAGGAGTGGGGTAGCACGTGGTGCGGGTAAGGCGGTTGGCCTATGCTGGCAGCAGGCAGGACGATTTTCTTAGCTCCAAGAGTCAGGCAGCAGAAAGGAGTGTAGTGTTCACGGCTCCAGGGGTCACCATTTGTAGCGTACTGTCGTGGCAGATTGTCAGGGTCTCTTATTTGGCCTCACAACGTACGTACATGAAATATATCCAACACTCAGGATTGAGGTAGAAATAGAAAATCACAGTGTTTCTCGTATATATATTGTTGCACAGCACAGTGTTAAAGAGATACTAAGTCGGGCGAAGCTTGCTCAGAGTTCCTGTAGGGCGAGGAGCTTTCTGAGGGAGCGTGTGTATGGAGCTGTTGAGGGATGTTGCTTGTTGGTGGCGGTCAGTAGAAAGGGCGATGAAGGCCAGGTGAGGTCTTATATAACCGCGGTAGGCATGGCTTGATGGAAGGCCCCTGCTTTGTTCGGCGTCGCCGGCAGATTCGCGGGGGGTCGGCCAATCAGCAACACACGGCGTTTGTAGGGGAGGCCTCCACTACAAGTGCACAACGTAAATCCCCTTCAACGTTCAGCCTGTTTCTGTACTTGGTCTTGACAGCAACGAGCGTGGAAAATGCAGCTTCACAAAGATACGTGGATCCGAACATAGTTAGAATCCGAAGAGCCTGTTGTGAGATCAGGGGGTAAACAGGAAGGTACTTGACCCAGAACGTCTCAAGATCCAGTTCTTTGAAGTCTTCCTTAGCTGTGGAGTTGAACTTCAACTCAGGAAACTTCTCTTGCACTTCATCCGAAACATCAGCTACCTCACATTGAAATGGGTTCCTGGTGAATTTCCAGGCTTCACGCCTCTCATTTATCTCTGGGAAGTATCTGATGAATTCTGTTTTCAAGTCAGTTAGATGAGTGATTATTTGTTTCTTTAACTCAGAATCAAGGTTGCCGTGAATGGGAGCAGAATCCAAGTTACTAAAACTGGCTATTTCCCTGCTGAATTCGACACTTCCAGAGGTCGAGTTTGGCCATGAAGGTTCGAATGGTGTCGTGGTGCATGATGATATTGATGTTTTTCCCTTGTAGTTTAAGGTTGAGAGCATTCAACGCTTCGAAGATGTCCACCAGGTAAGCTAGAGATAGCTGAAAGCCTTCAGACTGGAACTTGTCATGGAGATCTGCCTTCTGCTTCGAATCAAGAAATATTGCTACTTCTTCTCGTAGTTCATAAAGCCGTCCAAGCATGTTCCCCTTTGATAGCCATCGTACGTTTGTGTGAAAAAGCATGGTTTCATGTTCAGATTCCATATCCTTACACAGCAGTTTGAAGAGACGACTGTTTAAGGCTCCAGCTTTGATAAAGTTGACTACCTTGATAGCCACGTTCAGGACATCTCTCATTTCAGCAGGTAAAGTTCTGGATACTAAGGATTCACGATGAAGTATGCAGTGTGTACCTACAACAGACGGATTTTTTTCTTTCACCATTGTAATGAATCCAGACTGCAGACCAAGCATGGCTGAAGCTCCATCAGTGCACACCCCTACCAGCGAGTCCCACGAAAGTTGGCTTTCCTGAAAGAAGTTTGATACATCATGAAAAATAGCTGCTGCTGTTGTACAACTTTCCATGGGGTGACAGAACAGCATTTCCTCTTTTACACTGTTGCCTGACACGAAACGAGCATACATCAGTAGCTGAGAACACTGAGCGATGTCAGTCGTTTCGTCACACTGGATGGCAAAAACAGGAGAATCTCTTACTTGGTCGAGAATTTGATCTTTGATGTCTTGAGACAATTCATCGATTCTTCCCGTGACTGTATTGTTTGATAGTGAAATTTGGGAAAGCTTGTTTGCACTATCTTTCCCCAGAACGAGTTCTGCTGCACGGAGTATGCTTGGTTTCATGAGAAACTCTCCGATGTTATGGCTCTTCTTGCTCTTTGCAATCAACATGGCGATCTCATAGGAAGTCTCAACAACCTTTGAAGTTTGTTGCCGAAATGCCCCACTGCCGTCCAACTTAACTTGCTTCAAGGAGTGTCTTTTTGTTTCAAAGAATGCCTTGGGCTTGTCAGCTAGAGCAGGATGTGTTGTCCTCAAGTGGCGTTCCAAGCGTGAGGGCCGCATTCCATCATTGCTCAGAGTCTTGTAACATATCATACACTGAGGGACCTCTGTGTCACCCTTTTGGAGAGACACGAATCCAAATCGAATATATTCGTCAAGATACTTCCGCTTCTTTGCACTCATTGTGAATTATTTGATGTTCAGTGGACAACACAAATCTGTGAACAAAACATAAGGCACGTGTAAGGTAAGATAAACATCACCACGTGCTCATGAACACCACAACATCATGATGATCACAACCACATGATCAATAACAAACATATGATCGTAAAGTTCATAAACACTACAAGTGACTACAATCATACATGATCATAAACACCACCATATCATTAACAAACATCACATGATCATAAACACCACATGATTATTAACAAACATCAATGATTACAACATGATCATAAGCACCACTACATGATCATCAGCACCACTACATAATTATTAAGTAAATATTAACAAACACCACAACATTATAGTAAACACATCATGATCATAAACACATGATTATTAAGAAACAAATCAATATCATCATAAATAAAACTTTACCATAACCACCCACCCACATGATTTTTACTTCTAACTGATAAATGCAAACGGAATTTAAAACTTGCAGACGCAAGCCAGAGCAACACATGCAGGTTCTAATTCACCCAATAAACTTATGGCTGCTTGCCTTACTATTTTTGGGTAAATAACTGGGATAAAGCATACCTCCAACAGCCTTAACTGAATAAATGTGAGAAAATGTTTCACCGGTCACCAACGAGCAGTATACAGGTCCAGGAAGGGTTAACCCCCCACCCCCGCATAGGTTTCGAGGATAGGGAGAGTTGGCCAAAATACTGAAAAATGGTAAGCCCTAAATAGCCTATAAGCTAAGGATTATAAGACGATGCTGCTTTTGCGTTTTCATAAACTTCTCAATATTAGCCCACGCTCTCTTGTTAAGAATAAAACTATAATATTAATTAAATTAGAGAAATTCATCCTTTTTCCCTAGGGCACTTTATAGGTGCTGGCGCGCTTTGGGTTTGAACACTGCGCGGCTATACAGTAGTTTAGAACGTGAGCGAAGCATTGAGTTCGCAGGCAGGCGAGAAGATCATGTAGTGGACGTCTCCCCTACAAACTGCGTATCGCATTCCAATGTGCCGCCTTCCCTAGCAACCAACCAGATGTTACCGTATCTTAGCAACGGAACCAGTCACCGGCGACTTTCTGGGTTTTCCCAACATGACTCATGGCGGCTGCTGCTGGGTATATAAGCTCTGTCTCTCCATTGAGATTCATTCTGACCATTCTTCTACAACAAGCAACACCTCCTCCTCTGCCGCTGCCTGGCGGCCTTCGCTTCTCCTCGCCTGCCTGGCGGTCCTCGCTCCCGCCAGCGAGCATGGCGACCCACCAGCTGTCCTTCTCTGAGCTTCCTCACCAACCAACTCTCATTCTGCCCATCGTCCTGAACAAGCAACACCTCCTCCAGCAAGCTCCACGCTGGCACCTCCAGCACCAGACTGTGCTAGTTGAGACTGTGTGTGAGAAGGACCTAGGTGTGTATGTTGACAATGAGCTGAAGTTCTCGGGCCATTGTGAGAAGAAGGTAAATCAGGCAAATAAATTATTGGGTCTTATAAGAAGGTCGTTCAGATATCTAGACGGTCCGTCCCTCGTGACGATCTTCAGGAGTGAAGTGCTTCCCCATCTGGAGTACTGTCACCCCATCTGGTCCCCGAGATATGCTAGGGACTGTCAGTTGGTTGAAAATGTTCAAAGGAGGGCCACCAAACTGGTGCCTGCACTTCGGCATCTCAGCTACCCTGAGAGATTGGAGCGCCTGAACTTGCCTAGCTTATACTACAGACGGGCAAGGGGGGACCTAGTTGAGGTTTATAAGCATCTCAGGGGGCACTACTCAGTTGAGTGTCCTTACTTGGAGCTGGCGGACGCTCGCCCCACAAGGGGTCACAGCTCAAGATTGAAGAAGCCGCAAGTCCAGAAAACCGTGAGGGCAAACTTTTTCGGAGTGAGGGTTGTAAACTCTTGGAACAATCTACCAGAGAGTGTTGTGACGGCACCGAGTGTGAGCTCTTTCAAGAAGACTTGACCAACACTGGAGCGGGTTCAGGTACATTCAGGAGCCGGTGCATGCCCAGTATTTGCCAACAGTGCGTGACAGAGACGTGACCGATCGCCCGGGCGGCTAGCGAGCCGACCTTTTGGTGAAGAATATAAAGGAAAAGAGACGTGACCGATCGCCCAAGCGGCTAACAAGCCGATCAGTGGCGAAGAGGATAAAAAAAGTAAAAGTATACAAGAAAACCACATTAGAGTTTCCTTCCATCCTGAGTGCTAGACAACATTAATATCTCGATACCCCTACAATCAGTAGCTACACATGGCACCACATTTACGGTAAATAATTTAGTTCTTTGTCTATAAAGCACGTAGAGACATGAAATTACTGCCATACAATCAATTTTTCATCGTATATTAAAGGCAATTGTTGTTGAGTGGATTTTATTACTGTTCTTACAATCAACCAAACATTGTGGAAAAAATGAACGAATTCGAAAGGCTTCTGGTGTTAGCCTTTTGTTCTACTATTACCGAGAATAATATGAATACACTATTGTAATTATTTTATTGGCTTTATTTATATAGTTCTATATCACTCTGTGTATCCACATTAGGTTTTCATCTGACTTATTCCTAACAGGATATGATTGCAAATGGTTCTTCATTACTGTTCAATGCAACAAACAACAAAGTATACTTTGGTGACGTGACAATTGTGGTTCCTGAAACGTGGGCGTGTGATGGCGTTACGGACATTAGTACCAACTCCATGGGGCTGGGTTGGGCTGATAGTCACCTGAGGATTGGACCAACGCATGTGCTCTTCAAAGACAACCCGTGGACACAACAACCTCGTCGCTGTGGCCAACCTGGAGACTTTATCTACTTCTCTCATAACTTCATTCTCTCCAACACCTCTGTGAAATCTTCAGGTACTGTATATTGTGATGCACTAGGGAAATGTTACTGGTACAGTATATACAGTATGTTGTATGTTAAATATATATTGTATGTATATAATGCTCAAAGAATGATTATATCGTTTCGGGTATCCAACGAATTTTAGGATTTTAAGTTACCACCATCTGAGAGAGGTAAGTTAGGTTGAAATTATGTTTTTCCTATGGTTTCTTGTGTGATTTTTTAACGATTCTGACCTACTTCCAAATAGGTGGATGACCGAAACGATAATTTTACCCAAAGAATTATTTTAAAACATGACTGTTAATATAGAATTGTTGGTGCTACTACTGTATAGCATGCGGTCTACGAAGATATCTCTATCTTACCTAACCTTACCGGACCTCACCAAACCTTGCCTTACCTAATCTGACATAACGTAACCTAAGTGACTGTAAAATGTTTGCACCGGTAGTTTAAATCAAAGATTTATACAACCTTTATCAAATAAGTTTATCAGGAATGCCAACAGGAACACTGCCACACAAGCCAGATGGTAAGTGTGTGTCCTGGGAAGATATTCTCAGACTACTTCAGACGCCCCCCGACCATTCATTTGAAAAAATTTAGTATGACAAGTAACTTAGCAAAAATATATTAACAAGGCACGTCATTGTTGTAATAGAGGAAATAACATATTATATAACCACTTTGTTGTCCATTATAATACTGAAGCAATTACAGTTCCTATAATTCTTCTCCTGAAATGTATATTGTATTTCTTTGTTATGTAATTCAGAGAAACCTGAGGTGTCTTGGGCTTGATGAGGAGAAAGGAAGGAGAGGAACATGTCAACCCAAGTTTATCTTCCACAGGTAAATTATTGGTGCACGAGTGGGCCAAGTTCAGATGGGGTGTGTTCGAGGAGTATGGCCACCCCAGTGACCCCATCTATCCTTCAACCTACCATACAGCTGTTGGTGTCTTTAATCCCAATTACTGTAGTGATGAAAAAATCTCTGGCACATTCAGGTTAGAACTAGTTGTGAAAATACAGTACAGTAGGAATCAGACTGAATTCTAAACTGTAGTTATTAGCTATTAGTCATATTTAGTGTAACATATACTGTACTGTACAGTATACTGTATATGCAGAAAATTTTACTTGTTCAATCTCTCTTATTCTAAGCTACATTTATAATTTTTTACAGTAGTCAGTGTACAAACAATGTGGAGAAGGACTGTAGCTTCACACCTGACCTGATGTCCAATGACAATGTTACTTCATCTCTCCTTGCTGCACCATTCCTCGACTCAGTATGTCTTCTAAACCATTTTTTATTTATATTACTTTATTTTATTTTATTTGTTACTGGTCAGCTCACTAACTAGTCAGGCAGTCAGTTTGTTCTCAGTTATACTTTACACTGTTGGCAAGTACAGTATGTACTCTTACTTTTTTTATATACTTTTACCCTCTTCACTACTAATTGGCTTTTTAGCCACTTGGGCGGTCGGTCACGTCTGTTATGCACTGTTGGCACGTACTGGGCATAAACTGGCTCCTGAATATATCAGAACCTGCTCCAGTGTTGGTCAAGTCTAGCCATGAATGAGCTCACACTCAGTACTACTGTGTTATTTATCAGAGTCAGGTTAATACTCTGTTAAGTGGAATAAATTGTCTTGTAGGTGGTGAAGTTTTGTGATACGAGTGACCATGACAGACTACCCCCGACCAAACACAACGTTCTCTGTAATCAACTCAGTACTATGGAGGTTATCAGTTGGCACCAAGACATGAAATCGTAAGTACAGTACTGTATATTTCTTTTTTATCTGTTGGTCAGCATTATTTACTGTCCATAAATACTGTACTGTACATGGGTTGCCATGAGTGTGTACCTTTACTTATCCTCTGTGCCAACTTGGTCACTTTACTCTCTTGCTATGTGGTTGGTCCCATTATTGAGTACTGTTGGTAATAGTACTGGGCATACATGGGTTCATGATGGACAGATCCTGAGGTGTAATTGGGTGGGGGGCACAAGTTCTGCTGAGGGGGAACTTTCTACAATAATAATAATAATTATAATTCTAGACTAATACTGTATGCAAGTCTCTCTAATAGCAACAACTGTATAAGACAAATTACTGTACCGGTAAAACCACATGTCTGGCTGGTCCTCACAGCCTCACAATCAGTGGTGCTGTAACTTCAGTGTGCTCCACTGCATTTCAGTTATGTTTATTATTGGTTTATAATCACTGTCTGCACCAAAAATTATCATTACAAACATATTATGTAGTACTGCACTTTTAAAATGTTGTAGGATTATTTTCTTTGTCCTTTATAATGGGAACAGGGAAAATTTGATTTGATTTATGAATAACTGATTTCCAAAAGGTTTTTTTACGAAAGAAACCCTTTCCTAAATTAGTGAATTGCTGTAAAAGTGTGAAATCTTGTTTTTTTAACCTCAATTTATTGTAAATGGATGTCTCTGAAAATATATAAAAGATCATAATCTTTTTCCCTCTGAACTTATGTAAAAGTTTGATACCTTGATGTTTCTAAACTAAAGTGTAAATATATATAAACTTGTTTTCGGTGAACTTAAGTAAGAATTTGTTTTTTTGTTTTTCTTCCAGGTCTTCACAGAACACATTCCAGGATACAAGTTTTTCAGTGGTAAAAGCTGAACCGGGCGATATCATAGTGTTTGTGCTGGACTACAGTTCTACCATGGGGCAGGTGTGTAATGTACCTGTACCTGGTAATGTAAGAGGGGGAGAGGAGAGACTCTTAACTAAAGTTTCTTGATTAAATAAATAAGTATTGAATTATTATGAGGATATGAAGGCACAGACCGATGATCATACTGTAGTGTATTAAGAAATGAGGCACACGTTGTTGACTTCTGAGGGGCACTGACTGTAGGTTGGTAATTGTGGTTGATGTGACCCCTAGTGCCCACATTGTTTCGACACCTGTGAGTGGGAGGGATAAATACAGTTTGATAAGTGTCGATGAAAAAGTGAATTTGAGTAAAGTTGGTAACAGGAAGTAACTGAACAACTAGCCCTATAGAAGAGTGTGTACCTCTTTTGTTATGTTGTAGGGTTGGTTAAGAAGTGATTTGTTTATGACATAGAGACATCCTAGGCTGTACTTGATGACAGTTAACAAGCTCTGCATGTTTACTGTGATGTTCAATCTAGTTTTAATTATCATCAGAATTTTATTAGTGGTAAGACAACTCTGTATATTTTAGACATTTACACTATTGGTAGATGCCATGAAGTGATGTAGCTATACAGCACCATGAAACATGAGATATTGTTATTGTACAATATGTTGGAGAAGAGAAGTATACTGCAATGTACAGGTAGAAGAAGTTCAAGAGAAAACTTTTGACTAGTTTATGTAAACTCAGAAAAGTCTATGTATTTTTTTTAGTAAACTTTGAGACTCATCCACCACCAGATGACACAGTTTCATGGAGTTTACCTCTTACTTTAAAAAAAATTTGCTCACATTCCTGGAAATAGTGACTGGACTATAGGGACCAAGGTTTTCCACTTGATGTACAGTACGTGGCATATCTAATGCTTGCAGGAAATTCCCATGCTTAAAGCTGGTAAAGAAAATAAGTCTTGGCAAAATAATGGAAGTGATTTATTAAACATTGGCTCAGAGGGCAAGAGTCACAGTGGTTCTTAATGGAGTAGAGTCAGCCTTAAGAAAGGTCCTGAAGGGTATACATCAGTCACATAGATTGATGTGTTTTGAGCCACATCATCAAGTTTGCACATGATTCATCTCTCCAAAATACTGTACTTACACATTCCCACCTTGATTATTATACAGTACAAAACAGTATATGGATGTGGAGGCTACACATTACAGAAAGGCACAACATCACTAGAAGAAATGCAACCCATGATGACTACAGTTATTTGTAAAGTGAAACCTCTTGAATGTGCAGTTATACTAAAGATTATGGGACTAACAGCTTTTAAACCAAGACTATATTGTGTACATCTTCTATAAGCATTTAAAGTTCTGAACAAGATAGATAACATGAACCCAGACCATTTACTTAAAATATCACATACTGTATTACTGTACACACACACAGACAAAATTACATACACAAATACACACAAATAATATTACATCCACAAATACACACACAAATTGTTTGTAGACATGCACACATATGGTATGAATAATACTGTACCATTTCTTTCTTCTTAATTTCAGGTGCCCTCGAGGTGGGACTTCTTGCGGGACTCTGTATGTCAGTTCATTGAGATGATAGCAACGAATAATACCAAAGTGGGCCTTGTCATCTTTAATAATAATTGGGTTGACGGATATCCCCTTTTGACTCTTGACACTGTCGCCAACAGACAGGCTCTGACTAGTGTTATCAAGAATCTTCTTATCCCAAGTGGCAACAAGAATCTTTTAATAGGAATTTCAAAGGCAGCAGATGTAAGTGTTTTGTAAATGTAATAAATTTTATGTGTAATCAGTAAGTTTTTGTTGATTTTTGTCTCTTCCAAGCAAGAATTCATTCACTCTTCTAGCTGTAACAGATGAGTTTTGTTATGATGTTCCTCTTCCACTTTAATGCCTCAAGAGTACAATATATGTATAGTTTATCCTAGTCGCCTCACGCCACATCAGCAGTGCTCCATTCCCAAAATTCCCTCGACACCATACTGTCCTCTCATTGGCTGGCTATGATTTACCACTGTCTATCTGTGAATTTAATTTCTGTTGCTAGGTAGAGTAACATTGTACCATTCTTAAATACCTAGACTAGATATTCTAGAGATTTTTAAAGAAGAGGCACATCTTACCCTAAGAACAGCCTTCACCACTCTGAGAATGGAACTTACACATTTTTTATTTTCCTTTGATTTTCTTTTGAAGTAATTCCAAATCCATATCTTCTAAAACAGACAAAATAAGTCAACCAAATCCAGCCTTATGTACTGTACCTGGCCTTACCAGACTAAATATTTAATCCTGTGATAAAATGTAACTGTCTGATGCAATAATGAAATACAACTTTTTTATATTCATTGATAAATACTAATAAATTAATACTGTTAATTTCATTGATAAAATATAACTGTTCAATTCTGTATGTTTGATTCCTTCATATAACTTACCCATCCTTGTGGCCTCCAGATACTTGAAACAGTTGGACGAGGTACAATTGCACTGGTGACTGAGAACCTGTCAGAATATACTCCAAATCCAGCTGTGGTATCAGCAGCAAAGGGCCATCGAGTAGTGCCCATACTTTACCCATGTAACACAACGGTCCCCCAAAATATGTACGACGACCTTGCCACCATTGTACCCGGCACCTCTGTCCTCACTGTGTTCAATAAATTGGACAAGTTTCAAGTTGGCAATGCTGATTATGTGTTTCAGTCTGTGAGCAATTATGAAACTCTGATGGAACATTTGCTTACACTTGGGGGAAACTCAATTGTTGTGGTAAGTCAATAGATGTTTTTCCTACAAATCTTTGGATCATTGTTAGTTTTATGTTGAGTATGTTATTCTAGGCAATTGGTACAGTACTCATAAAGAATACTGATGTCAAACTATCTCTCAAATGTAAACCTCCCGCCATTTTATTTATTTTTATTATTTTTGGAAAAGTTTATTTTTTTTCTCGATTTAATCCCGAAGGGGGAGGGGGGGGAGGGGTACTGCCAGCAGCACCCTAACCCGGGGCTTAAGGGTTAAGAGGTTAGAATGCTTGCAGTTGCTTAACTTAGGTACACTATAGACAGCCAAGGGGTGATTTAATAGAAGTTTATAAGCACTTCAGAGCCTTCAAGATGCATTTTTATATAGTAAGAAGTAATTACTCTTGACCTCAGAATATCTCCTAATATCAAGTGCACATGGCCTCAAAATGCCCATTATATTGGTCAGACTTCAACCCCCCTTCCCTTGATATTGTTGGATATGCTCCAGCTGAGTAATGGCCCCTGAGAGTCTCAGAGGCCATTACTCAATTAAGTGTTCATATCTGGAACTGGTGGTTGCCCACCCCACTAGAGGCCACCACAGCCTCAGGTTAAAGAAGCCATTAGTACAGAATACTGTCAGGGCTAATTTCTTTGGAGTCAGAGTTTTGAACTCTTGGAATAGACTGCCAGAAAACTTTGTGATGGCAGTGTGTGAGCTTATTTAAGGACAGATTTTGCCAACACTAGCATATGCTCTGGTACAGTCTAGAGCCTGTGCATGCCTAGTACAGTACAGTACTTGCCAACAGTACGTAACAGAGAAATAACTGACTGACTAGTGAGAGAGCTAACCAGTGGCAAAGAGGATATGATGCATAAGAATTTTTATCCGAATTTTCCAGAAAATGCGCCTGATTTTTAACCTTGGAAAATCATTCACAGACCCGGAATTGAGAGAAATTTCTGGAAAATTTTCTAGCAAAGTTCAATTCTGGGTATTAGATTGTTTCAGCTAAGAGGTATATTACTCTCTCTCTGCTTCAAACTCGTCAGAAATTTTGTGGGGGTTTTCATCTACATTACTGTGTAGTCTAGACTTATGAGTGTTCTGAAAGGTTTGATTCTGACTCTTTCCTACTTTTTTCTAATCCTTTACTGTGATCCTGAGGGGGCATGGCTTATTTTCACATTTCTTCCCTAATTTAACCACTTTGTTAGAGATAACTGCTGTATTCAGATCTCAGGATTATTTTTGAGGGGGAAAGTTCATCATGTGTTTTCATTTTTGTCTGACTGACCATCAGACTCCGTACACATTTTATCCTACCATGTTTAATGCAGGACTTTACGTTATACTGGTCAGGTTTTTAACTCTCATCACAAGTTTTTATTTCCTTCATTCATAATTCTTTTTCATTTCTCCAGTGTGAAGCTTCTCTTGAAACTTGCGAGCTTGACGTTCCATAATAAGAATACTGTACAGTACCCTGTTCATGAATTAGACTGTACAGTACCCTGTTCATGAATTAGACTGTACAGTACCATAATAAGAATACTACAGTACCCTGTTCATGAATTAGAGTACCCTGTTCATGAATTAGACTGTACAGTACCCTGTTCATGAATTAGACTGTACAGTACCCTGTTCATGAATTAGACTGTACAGTACCCTGTTCATGAATTACTGTATAATCCGCTCTTCTTACAGATGTCATTTAACTAACCAGAGACATTGTACATTGTTGCATCTGCATGTATATAAAGTATTAATTTAACAGTGTAGTGTTCATAATTATATTATTTTGGAAAATTATGTTTTGAACCATAATTAACTTGAATCTGTTTTCAAAGAAAACAAAGTTTTTGGTCATCACACTGCAAGGGCGCGTGTTTTCCAACACCTACGCCACCCTTATCTTACTTACTTCTCTTGTTCTAGTTCTTATTCTTACTCAGTTCTTTTTGGTAGCATGGACATTCTTTTGGAAGCATGGACATTCTTTTGGTAGCATGGTCATTCTTTTGGTAGCATGGTCATTCTTTTGGTAGCATGGTCGAGGGTCTAGGCACATGGGTACAGTATATGGTAATTCTGGTATCAAGTCACTTGGACGGAAATAAAGGTAAAATACTGTGGGAGAAATGAATACACCTAAAGTACTCAAAAAACAAGTTTATTAATATGAAATCAATGGGAAAAAGATACATTATTAGCATATAACTACCAGGCTCAACTCCTGGGCTTATTGCAGACTCGGTACTTTCTTCTTTACTTATTTTCTTATTTCTTTACTCAACAGTAATTACTCAGATCTTACACTCTTGCTGCACACAACCTTACTGGTGTTACATTACATACATAGCAGGACAAGTTCCTTGGCCCTACTCACAATACATAGTACATGGCACTCCTTGTAGATTACTGTACTTCTCACACCTACTGGTGGTACGTGGCATTACAGTACAGATACAAGACTTTACTCAACATACACGTTAATACTGAAACCAGCCGATACATGGGTCCACTACCCAACATGGGATAATTATTTTCAACTAATTATCCCTAACATACATGTTACAACACTCTCTGTGGACATATAACTTCCAGGGAGGGTCCCGGAGTAGAGCACTGGGGCTCAAAGGCCGTTGTTATGGTCGGTGGTAGCCAGACACATGGCGAGTCTGGGGTCGGGCACCACGAGGCAGTGGAGCATATTAATCAGGCCGCATCGGTGCCATCGTTTCATATATGAACCCTGCTGGGTTTCTACTACATCCGGGGCAGTTGTTGAGTGATGCAAGAATCACAAGGGGATCTGGAGAAACATTGGAGAGCGTCAGGGGACGAAGCATGACACACAAACAAATCTCTGGTCTAAACGACAGACATATTTACGTCATTACTTCTTACACTGGGTGAATGACAATTCAACTGTTGAAGCATGAGCTCTGATGAACACTGATATTCACTACAATTGAATCAAACTGAATGGCTACCCAATACCTGAGAAACATTGGAGAGCGTCAGGGGACGCTCGCCCTGCGTGATGTGCGGGTATATATATCCCTGAGTTGCCAGTGATCGCTACTCACGCAATGACAATAATTACAAACAAACTAACTGTTACTCATTCAAAGATGACCCTCAGTTGACAAAGGTCTGGCAAATTACTTGAGTTGATTTACATAGACTAATTCAAGATTGAGCTTCCCAGGAGAAAGTGGAATAAACAATGCATTGATAACTGTCTTGGGACACTGGGAGGGAAACACAAGTGTAGCGTCTATGGGGGAAAACACTTCTTAGGGGTCGCTAACCCATTCATGTTTTGCGGTCGTGGAGTTTAATAAGAATCATTAGTTAAATAGACTAGCAGTCAACGTGATCACGACAACACTGACACCAACCTTGCCATCGTCACCTCTGTTGTTATTATTGTCTGGTTATTTTTTCTTTACACCCACTCCCTGTGCTCTTGTTTTATCAGTTAATCTGTTTCTGTACATTTATTTTACTTTTGCATTTATCCTCTTTGCCACTGATCGTCTGTTAGCCTTTGAGCAGTCGGTCACGTCTCTGTTAACCACCTTTGGCATGTAGTGGCACCAGAATTTATCTGTACCACAGAATGTGGAAGGTATTAGTAAGTGAAGTGGTGAAATAGTAATTAAAATATTCAGTATGTTTGTATGGAGGTGACTAGTGAGGTGGAAGTAGTTCTTAACCTAACATAAAACACAATGAACCACATTTTAGGTGTTTTAGGGTTCTGTGGGTTGTAATTGTTAAAGAGAATAGATGATCAATATATGATTCTTTTATTTCATGCACTGTGTAATAGAATGGGTCATGGGGTGGGGTACCTGAAGCTCCCTTAGCCCCACTGGATTTGCCACTTGACTGGATAGAGTTGAAATGGATGTAACTGCAACAGTCTTAATATGTTTAATTAATATTTTTAGTCAATATTTATATACTGTACAGTACTGTATAGAAACTTTAAAAATTTCTTTATGGATAACCTACAGTACTTTTTTTATTCCAGGTTGCAAAGCAGAGTTGTTCTTCTTTGCAGTGTCTTATGATCCTTCCTGTTGCCAACAGCACACAATATGAATCAGATTTTCTAATTGAAGTACTTCACAGCACTAGTGAAAACCCAACTTTCTATAATGTTGCAATTACTGGTCCAGCAAATAGCATACATACCGGTGATAGTACAACATATACAAGCCTGGTCTCCAAATTTGAAAGTCTACAGGTAACTGGTAATAATTTATAGAGAACAAAATTTTAAACGTATATATTTTACAGTTATAAATCAGAGCAAAAGTGTTTTTATTAAATGAGATTCTTTACAGGATGGGAACTACTTCGTGAATGTATCAAGACTATTTTCGGTCACATCCGTAAATACTTCTTTGTTAGCGACACCAAAAACAAACATGAGCAGTTTCCATGTACTGGTGTGGTCAACTGATGGACTGAGTAACTTGATCTACACCACAACATCTGTCCCCACACTCTTTGTGATGGTGAGGCTACTTGTACTGTACCACTTTTCAAGTGTTTTCTTGTTAATATAGTGCTACAGGACTTTATCCTTTTATGCTAAATGAAGTATAAATTATTGTGATATTTATGGCATATAGTATGTTGCTCCAAGTCTTAAATGTAAAATTCTAATGCTCAAAATGTTGACATAGGTGACACAGATGTGGCGTCATGTATTACATGCTAATGTGACAGCTGTTATTACTCATAAAAATGGAGAGACTGTCACCCTGAAGCTTTATGACAATGGTATTGGAGGTGAGTAATTTTTGCACTCGTTGTCTCCTTTTTTAACAGATAGGAATTGTAGGTTATCCAAATTACTGTACTGAAACACTGAAGGTAATCTTAGGACAATCTTCTCACAAATTTGTGCAATACACTTCCCTTTGACAAAGTACGGTACTGTACATCTTAATGTATACTCGTGCAGAAAGAAGTAGATAAAGCTAACTAAAAATATTTAGTATGTAATGAATGCAAAAGTTAATATTGTAATGTGAATGAGTGTGTACTGTACTGTAGTATATAATAAGAGAGCCAAGATACTAGTTGATGGCCTCATAAAACTCCTGACAAACACAGTAAAATGGTACTGTAGATTTTATTTTCAGATAAACAGCAATAATTTCTTGGAGAACTTATGTACACTTTAGAGTTACAGGTACAGTAATGGTAGTTGTAATTTAACCCTTGCTTGTTTTATTTGCATCGATGTTATATAAAAAGTGATGCAAATTTCTGAAAATATTGTTGTGAAGAGCCTTTGGGAACTTATTTTATTCGTCAATAAGATAATACTTTTTAAAAAAGAATGCTGGATAAATTTGTTACTGTAAACAGTATGTTAGTGATGCCTACAGACTAGTTTTACTGCAGGTGACACAACAGGCAATGACGGAATATACTCGGCCTACTTGGTGGGGCTGAATGTAAATGTTGATGTCAGTATCACAGTGACTGCCACAGACAACGGCGGTCAAGCGCGTCTCCTAGGACTTGCTGCTGGTTCTGCTCCTGTCACAGGTCAGTGCCATGTTCTGCCACCATCATCCTCACAGGTAGCAAAGTAACAGCATGTGCCAGTGTTGGTCAAAACTCTCCTTAAATGAGTTCGAACGAAGTTCATTCAAACAATTCTCTATACAGTACTTGTGGCTTCTTCAACTTGAGGCTGTGTCATCTAGTGGGGCTCCAAGTATGGACACTTTGACTGGGCGATGTTCTTTGAGATGATTATAAATGTATTAAATCACTTCTTGCCCGTCTATAATGGCAGTTGAAGATGTTCTAATCTCTCTTGGTAAGAGATGTGTCGGAGTGCTGGCATCAGTTTGGTACCCCTGCTTTGTACATTCTCAATGACCAAACAAAATTAGTGCTCCAGCCTAAATTAACCTAACTAAACTTGAACTTCACCTAAATATTATTAAAAGATTTAGGTTAGGTTATGTAGGTTAGTTTGGTTAATTTTATGAATAATAAATTATATAATGTAGCAGTATCTGATGCAGTACTTTGGGAAGTTTCCAGTCTCGACATATGTCAATAGCAATGCTTGTGACTTTACAACCATTAAATACAAAGAAAACCCAATTTAATTTTAAATTTTCAGATCAAGCTTGTTGTGGGAGTAAGTTGATCATCCCAACTGAGCTGCTGGATGACCCAGGATCCTTCACAGTCTCCTCACTGGGTGTCGCAGGCCGTACTGCGGGAAAGCAGCCTAATTCACTGCCTCCTGCTCAAATCACTGATCTTAAGTCTTCACAAGCTGGCTACAGTGTGTTGCTCACATTTACAGCACCAGGTGATCAACTGGACCAAGGCAGAGGTCAGTTTTCCTTACATTCTCTTGTTGATGAATCAAAATTTGGTCATGATGGTAGCCATAGCACTTGTAGTCTTAGTAAAAGTGATATACAGTACTGCACTGTAGCTATCATTGATTCTATAGGTAAAAGTGGTTCATCTGAGCCCAACAGCTTTGTTGTCAGTCATAAACATCTCTACCCTTGTGCAGTGCCTTCTTAGCTCTTATTAACCAGTTGTATAGGAGCTCCCCTCTTTGCTTAAGAAAACCATCTGGTATTAATTAGATAAATTATTAAAAGTGGCATCCCCGTAGTGAAGGGGTAACTGGCACAGGTTCAGAATTCAGATATATTTTGGAGCCATTGCATGCCCAGTTCTTGCCAAACGGTGCTCAACCCTTAAGAGGGCAGTGGCACTTTTACCAGTTGTTACTTATTCCAGTTAATACCAGAAAATTTTATTCAGCTGAGAGAAACTCCTGCTCTCTGAAGGGTATATCTTATTCTCTGCACCATATTCAACCCATACAATGCTTACAAGGTAATCATTTTTACCCCTTACAGTTTCGTCTTTTCATGTTTTACACCCATATGTTGTCTTATGAACCCCCCTCCCAGTTCATCCTCATCTGTCTCTTGATACACTTCTCTTCCCTCAATACATTCCTCAGTGCACCTAATACTCTATGACCCTCTTGTTTATTTCAACTTGCATTGTTTCTTTTGCGGATAGACACACACACACACACACACGAATAACATGTCTAAATTATGGGGGGTCCCCTACCTAAAAGTGATAGTGTAGACTGAGGACGTAGTATAGCTGAGAGTGTAGTCGCAGACATAGGTTCTGAGTTGCTCCTCATCCCCACCTAGTATAAATACAGGAAAACCTCTATTTACGATGTGCCAATCTATAATTCGCGTTAACGATGTTGATATATTAAGACCACTTCCCTATTTGTAATGTAAATAAACTCACATTAACGATGTTCATCATTCCGCCAACTCGGAATATGGAACGCATCTCTCACCTCATTTGTCAGCTGAGGCATCATCTACCCGAACGCTGCCTAGTGGCCATCTGGTGAACTACAGTCCAGGCATTGTGTTTTCTTGGTTACATGTGTGTAAGAAATGGAGCTAAATGTTCATCGACCATCATCAGTGTTGTTATTTAGCAGTTTTTTTTTTCCCACCTTACAGTGGGATGACATCACTAAAGTTCATTTTGTATTCTGTTTTGGTGACTGAAGTGATTTTTGCTGTTTTTTTTTTGTGTGTGTGTGGGTGTGACTGAAAAGTGCTTAGCCTCTGTTGTTACAAACACGAGGTGAGGAGCAGCAGCTGGTATCATTATTTTTGATAAAATTTTCTTCACAGTTGGAAATTATAAAGTTTCAGTGTTCTGTGCTATACAGGTACAGTACATATACTCAGTTTTAGTGATTGTGAAATGTTTTCACACTAACTGTGAAGTGTTTTCTCTAGTGATTGTGAAGTGTTTTCTCTGGTGATTGTGAAGTGTTTTCTCTGCTTTAGTGACTGTGAAGTGCTTTCCCTCTGTTTTTTTGACAACTTTAGAGTTCCCTTAGCCTCCAAGGGGACATGTGATGGCGACTAAACTTGTTCATAATGATGTGGTGAGTGTTGTTTAATTGTGTTGTAGTGCTAGTAGTATTCTAGGATTCTTTTTTTTTTATGGATGTCTGACTGGCCAGGAACCTATTCTATTGCACCTCATGTTATAAGTAACCTGATTTATGATATTTTGACTGGCAATGGGGTTTTCAGGAACCTAACCCCATCGTAAATAGAGGTTTACCTGTATCATGCAAAACGATCTGGACAAGCTACTGTATTTAGATGGTCACAAGACTGTTAAATGCCTTCTAACATAAAATTTAAGACTGAACATTGGATAGTACAAATCTAATTGCAACTATTCTATTAAAATTTTTAGGGTACAGGTTGTACCTCTCTAGTCCGGCATTCTGTGGTCCGGAAACTCCCATGGTTCGGAACGATTTTAGTTTGTCCAATAGGTAGATAGGCAGCATTTTTTTTTTTTACTTATCTGCATTATTATTACAGGAGTATTAAATTTTTGCCCCTCAGGCCCTAATGTGGGTCAGTGACCTATGCACGGGTGGGCTAATCACCATAAAAAAAACAACAACAAAGCCGCGGTAAATTAAGGTTTGTTTACATCCGGCAGTTTGGCTGCTCGCTCTCTCTCTCTGCTTGTCTATACAGAGTAAAACATTTAACCCTTCAATATATATGAGCAGTAAATAAGTGTTGCTTTCATATTCTTATGTTGAGTAACGACGATATGTTTTCACATTGGCGCAGTCTCAATTTCTTCTTTACCATTAATGGTTAGCTACTTATATTGTTCCATTTATTACATTAAATAACATTATTTCAAACAAGCATATTAATTTTACTACAGCTACAACCAGGGTCTTATTTTCTTCAGTTTTATATGTAGAACCAAGTCAGTCACTGGTTTTGTAATCAACGAAAACAATGCTGTCTCATTTCCTTGTGTGTTTTAATATTCTATGTATTATTAATGAATTGTATTGCCCATTTTGCACACAAACATTAATTCAATAAAAAAGACATTCAGTTATAAACAATAATTAATCTTTTATACATAAGAGAAATGACGCTGTTTACAAGATTGTGCACATTGTCTGAACGTTGGTGGGCTGTTCAAACACGTCGAAATTCGAGTTTCTGCCGTCAAAATTTTAAATTGTTTTGTTTTTTGTGTGTTCAAATAAAAAACGTCGAATTAAAAACTCGCAAAATTTGAGAAGCTACTGTACAACATTTAACCCTTCAATATGTCTTCAAAGAGACCATGAAGCAGAGAAAGTGGTGCTAGTGCTTCCAAGCATAAGCACAAGTCACTATCTATCCAGGAAAAGGGTGAATTTCCACGGTCCGGAAATTTCCATGGTCCGGCACCGGTCAGGTCCCGAGGTTGCCGGACTAGAGAGGTACAACCTGTATTGTTTATAAGGAAAAATCCAGGCAACTTGAAAGACCAACTCTGAAGGGACACAAGTGGGAGCGGCAGTGATAAAAAGCCTACAGAAATTTAGGAATTATGTGTCGTACTTTCCAATAGAGCAAAGATAAGCAATGCTGCTTTATCTTCACAAGTCTATCATATATTCCCATCTGGACTACTGTATACAGACACAGAAAACTCATACCCACAGACATAACATCCCTAGAAAAGTTGCAACACAGAGTATTGAAGATGATTCCCGAATTAAATCATTTTGACTGAGGACCTTAAGACTAACAGCTCTACAGACAAGACACAATAGGACAAATTTCATACTGTATATACATTTAGAATCTTGAAGGGATGGAAAACATAAACCTGAGCCACAACTTACAGGTCACCAAGATGTCATGCAGTATGATTTTAAGGATATACTGTACTTCTTTACACTTACAGGCAGTATATGTGTGTGTACAAGTACAGTATTTTACAGTTAAGACACTAAGTATTACAGATAACAGGTTCTGATAATGAACTTCCTTTTCAGCCACAAGTTATATAATACAGTACCAAGTATATGAAAACAACCAAATTCAACAGGTTAATAAGACAGATAAGGGAACTGACACTACTGTCCAGTTTTCTCTCCTTCCACCTTACTGTGACACTCTCTACACCTTCACTGTCATAGCCATTAGTTCTCAAGGAACGGCAAACAATGTCTCCAATGAGGTTCGTAACCAGGGGTTGTGCTCTGTGCCAACTCCAAATTTAACAAAGGGTGAAATTGCAGGAATTGTTATTGGATCTCTTCTGGGATTTATCATCATTATTATTATTATATATTTATGTCTCAAGCGTGATCACCTGGAAGATGTTTGGCTATGGCAAATGCTCACGTGCAGATGTATTAGGAATAAAAAAGACGATAGCACAGTCTACAACAAACCCCCGCCTAAGTTGGCCGCCAAGAGGAGTGATATTATCCGTAGCAACACATCGGGTAACTCTGAACCAATCCGTACAATAAGCGACCTCTATACCAAACCAAACTTGCATGCTAAGAGAGAAATCCGGAAAAACAGACAGGAGGACATGGATGATGGAGGCTTTGGTGAACATCTACGACGAAGTGAAAACATTCAAATGAATGCCATCAGTGATAACAGTAGTCAGAGGTCATCCCCATACCCAAACCCATACAACACTCACTCAACAATGCCCATAAATCAGGTTGGCCTTCCCTCTGCTACAAATCCTAACTATGGATATGCTATAAAACAGAAATCTTATATGACAAACAGACCCCTGGAAGACAGTGATGATGGGTCTCATGACAATTTTGCGTATGATGGTTACAGTGGCAATGGACTCCAGCCACCCAGGAAACCCAGAGTCAACACACAGGTATAAACATTGTGTAAAGCAACATATCATCAACCAAGGTGCCATCCTCAGATCCAGGGGTTAGTGACCCCTACAGCAAACATTTTTGGCTTGTGTATCGACCTTTTTTGTGTGTTTTATTGTAATGAACATTGTTTCAGAATGTACAGATCTTTCCTGATATTATTTGTCATTTTTTTTCTGAGCTGGTTAAACTGACATCTAGGTTGGTTTAAATTGCTCTTTAAACATATGCTTAATTTTTCTGATAAAAAAAAAATCCAACTTGATAATCTCTAAAAGATATTTGTATTAATTTCATTCGAGTGATTGTAGTTTTTTTATTTATAATTTATTGTATGTAAGGTAAGGAGCACTTGATCCTCCCTGGGCCTTTATATAAAATTTGGTCAAAATCCTGGAGGTAGCTTCTATGAAGTAGCTTCAAGTATTTAAATTAATGAAAAAGGATTGTAGTAAGATGGGCCATAAAAAGCAGATAAGAGCGACTGTTTATACATCACTTTCAGTGAATTAATTGGTCCTGTAATGTTGCAAAACAAGAAATTCCAGTACAGTACAAGTATAATGAAAGTATAGCAGCTCTTCTTAACCTCCAACTACAGTGTAACCCAATTCAGTATTACCTTGTATACTTGAGATACATTTGTTACATCAACTCTGTTTGCCATTATGGACCAGCGTCAACTTTTATGAAAATAATCACCGTAATGAATCTGTTTCTCTCTATCACATGTCACTTTACAGCAAATTTATTTGTTAAATAATATTATGGTGGAAGGGGGAGGGAGAGAGACCAACTCACACCCACCCTTATTGCTCACCAAATTTCAGATTTATATCACCCATTATGAAGGGATCATACTCTGTTATTAATAGTTTAACTGAATAAAATATAATTCAAGGCAGGTTATTGTACAACTCAAAGCCTTCTTTGTGGTCAGTAATAAAAATACCCCTCTGTAAACTTCAATTGGACTAAGTACTGTTCTGTACTTATAGTTGACCATAGTAAGGTTTTATTGTGTACAGTACGCCTTTAGAAGTACTTAATTTTAATTAGTGAAACTTTGTTAATAATAAAAAAATAATAATGATTTGTCACCATGAGTCGAGTAATTTACAGCCATTTATTGTAGTGAAATTCACGCCAATTGTTTCATTAGCAGTTGACTGATTAAATTATAGTACTGTATGTGTTGGGGTTTGTACATTTTAAAGTTTTATTTTGCATATAATATTAAATGAACTTTATGGTAACTTGACGGCCATACATAATTTTCACTGTACTGTATCTGTAGGCTACTGCTCCTTCATATTGTATATCATCATGTTACCAATACCATAAGTCTCCCCCAGGCTGTGCACTGACTAGCCCTTATCTAATTTCCGTACAATAATAACTTCCTGCATAACATACGTACTTTCTCTCCGCACTCACATTGGGATGCCATAATAAGAACAAAATTCTAAAGGACTAATTGAAAAAAATCTCGGAGTTGATCATTTCAAATTTAAAATGGTAAACACTGACAAAAGGGTGATGACAGCACGTGGAAAGAGAGTTGTGTATAGCCAGGGATTTTATTTTGTGGTTGGAATTGGATTTTCAGGTTGGAGATCACATTTAATAATTTATGTTTGTTCTGTAGAAACCAATTAGAAAAGTCTTTATATAGAATCTGTATAGTACTACAGGTATCCCTTGTTTAGTGCAGTTATTGTGTTCCTGAAAAAACATGTCAAATGAACTGATTTATTGATGTATATATTAAAGGGGAATGAAAATCTATAATGTAATTCATGTTCGACATAAGCACAGTCAATGCGATTAACATAATGTAACGTGGTATCAGGAAAGGGTTTGTAAACTGCCTCCAACTTTTCTTTTGGATTACTGTATATCTTTGAAAACTGGACCATTCTCTCCACTGGGGTCGAGAAGGAGGGGAAATTGTAAGGTACTGTACTGGACTCACTTAACCTTAATGTACTGTACCTGTATATAGCAAGTTAATATTTTTTTGAGTACATTTATATCAAACAAAAATATTATTCTACGTACTGTAATACTGTACATTAATATTTCTTTCAACGCAAGCCTTCAACAAAATAGAACCACATTGACCATAATTAAATCTGCTAATATCGCCGACATTCTTATACCTGTATTAAAAAAACATTAAGATAGATAGTGTATAAATTTATATCTTTGTTCAATACCATCTAACAAGAAATGGAATCAAAATATTAAAATACAGGTATAAATCTATATAATATTTAGTAACCCGACTGTATTCATCACACTACAGTATACGTGTAGGTAGTCTCATCACTGTGTATGGTAATGTCTGCTCGCTATCATCTCTTCCTATATGTTTATACAGTATTAGAAAAATTATCAGTACGTATATTATATAAATTATTTTTATTAAATGTAACCCCCACCAGATACTAAAAATATAAATTTATACACAGTTTGATAAAGCGAGTGTTTTGTCCGTCCAATAGAGGTAGTGTTCAGCTGTACCTGAGCACTTTTTTTATTAAGAGACTCCTTGTATATTGTTTATGTAGTATTACTATTATCAAAACAAATCCTTCAGATGTAAAAAAAGAAAAATGCAGTACTGTACGTATAAATGAAATTACAAGATGAAAAATAACCACAACATGGCATATATATATAGCTCACAGGTTTGGAACGGTCAAAAATTTCTGTGATGTGAACAGATGCAAATGAAAAGACATCTGTAAATCTTCATTTGTGTCAGGTATTTGTAAATTTAAAGTGAATGAGATTCTTCTCTTCAAGTGTAAGTTTTTAATTATTCAGAGTGATTATTCTTTATACTTCCTGTTTCTATAACTTTTCTTTTACGAATTATGCTTCTCATATGTTGGCACCGTTTTAGTACCACTACTAATGCCAATAACAACCATTTCCAAAATGCCTCTGATGAGCTCATTATTTAAATCTTGTTATCCCCAAATATTCTGATGTGCAATTAATTAATTTTGTAAATCTTATGCGAGTGATATAATTTTTTTTACTGTGCCTTTGTTGACTTACTATGTAGGTAAGATGTGAACCATGAAGTGTGTCATGAGTGGATGTTGTGTATCTTTTCTTTGTTCCAATTTATAATTGGTCATCAAGTACTCAATACTAAAACACTGTAAATAGAAAAAAATTAGTAAAATTTTTTAATAAATGGAAATTATGTTATTGTTGTTTCCCTTTACCTCACTAAATATATGATGTTGATGAAGAAGTTTTCGGTAATGAACTTACTTTGAAATTTTAAAGATCAGATACTTATTTAATCCCTAGGTACTGGGCTACTGTAGGCTTGCAATTGTGAGAGAAAAAGATGAATGCCTGCTTGGTGATTCAAACCACTGAAATAATAATGTCATGTGATGGGAACCGAAGCCCTGTAAGCACCGTCATGTGCTGTATCTAACAGGTAGTCATTCCTATGGGACCCACTGTCACTATGTAGGGGTGTAGGAAAGGGGTCTGGCTTGCATTTTTATGCTCACAAGACAGATGTTTCAACCCACATATACTTTTCGAACTGGCAAATGAGTGTGTGTGTGTGTGATGCTTTAGATTATGGTCAATTTCCATCAGAAAGCCAGATAGCTTGTAATAGTGGGAAATAAAAAGATGGTAAAAGTAATACTGTAAAGAGAACTAATAGTACTTGTCAATTTTATTCTAACGTCAAAGCTCGTACATAACAGAGTTTTACCTGAGGTTTCATTTGAATATGGATGATTTATAATATTTAAGCTCTTCAATACTTTCTTTGATATCATCCAAAGCTCTATGAGACACTTTCTTGCTGGGGGCAGCAGTAAAATCCTCCGGGTACCAACGTCTGTGGATGGAAACATGAAATTATTTTTTTAACCACTTATGTAGAAGGTCCCCGGTAGTGAAGGGGGTTAATATTATAAGCCTTTCTTGTTTCAATGCAGGTTGGCTGAAATAAGGAGCAACACAGACTGTTTCATTTAATAATTTATTCTACCTTCTACAATATGAGGTCAGTTTGAAAAGTTGAAGTCAATACCTTAAAACTGAGTTGTAGATAATGTTCAGCCTAGAAATGACTCACCTGCACAGCTCTTTGACGGTGGAAACATCAACAATGCGATAATGGAGATGCTTCATCAACTTAGGCATGTATTTATCCAAGAACTTCTTGTCTGCATGCACTGAGTTACCAGCTAATGGGGCCTTACCTGTTGAAACATCATAAGAAATTAGAAAAATATATACCTGTATAAAATAATAAAATTAAGCTCTGTTAATTTAAAAAGTCCATCTCAAACTATAAAAGTAGAATCACCAGTGACCTTCATCAGTAAGTGGGTCACCATGTCTCCGTTACTGTTTGCACCTATAGCTCTAAACCTCCATTGAACTTTACACGAGTTTGTTTGTCAGTCTTACTCCCTTAGATCCAAGGGGTGAACAAGTTATTGAAGCTACAAACAATTTCTTATCCATTTTGAGAGGAGGGGGGGAAGAATGGGAGAAAAAAAAAAGAATTGTTTGGTGCTTCTGAAAAACATCCTTACTTGCTACATCTTCCTTCACAAATATTTTACTGTAAGGATAATACAGTTTAACTGATGCCACAACTGTGAGCAGATAAAACACTCGCTGGATTCAAGGAAAACTTTATGTAATCACTCACCCTTCTCGGTGTGCTGAGTAACAAACTGGAGCAGCTGGTCCTCTGCTGCTGAAAGGGAGATGATGCTCTTACGACAGCCCTCTGTCAGCCCAGACTGTTAAAAAATTTCTGACAATATAAAGAACTGCTTCTGGCCTGTTACGATCTAGAACACTTAAATTATTCATAAACAAATTATTAAATAAGAATTCACAGTACTATACAGTACAGTACCTTGCCATGGTGCTGCCTACACCAGTCATTCATGTTGTCCAGCACTTTGTCCTCCACCTTCAAGATGATGTTAGGGCCCTCTGACACAACATTTAGTTCACTGTCTGTAATAATAACTGCTGCCTCCATAATTTCCTCTTTCTCCACATCCAATCCTGTCATCTGTAAACCAAAGAAAAAAAATTGAGTTATATACAATTACAGTCAATTAATAGTAATGCTCAGGTTTACTTCTGCCATTTTAGATCTGATATTTTGATTAGGATTTTTACTGTTATTTCTATTAAAGCATAAAAAGTAAATCTAGTGGTGAAGAAGGGGGAAATAGTGTGAATAACTTACAACTCTAAGAAACCAAAAAATTAAACCAAGACCACTAAACTAGATTCATTTGCACTCTTATACATTATTTTCACCCATTTCTTTCCTGTTCTCTCAAGGAATCTTCTTTAAAACAAAGATATAAGTCAGGCAGCAGGGATCAGTAGGGTGAGTGGCTGAGACCCTGAGAGTAGTCAGCCCCCCCCACCCCACAAAGTTAAAAATATGGTTATTTATGAGTAAACTGCTACCACCAGTTGTTCGATTTCGTCCATTTTTGCCACATACATTCTTATCATTATACTAAATATGAGGCTAAAATGATGTCTTTATGTGCTTTATAAGTAAATACACTTAAAAAAAATCTGCCACTGTCGGCGCGTGTTGTCTGCTCCGGTCCGACTAATTACCCAAATGAAGCCGCAATGAAATCAAATAATGGTCCTACATGAATAAATCAGACTGCCAATCACTTCTCAACTAGTATTTGGTGTCACGAAGTCACAAAAAATTGGTAAACGTAATTTAATCCGAGTTAATAGATTGCGTGCTTGTACCGAGGGAGCGAGTAATTACCCAAATGTAGTCGCAATGAAGTCAAATAATGGTCCTACATGAATAAATCGGACTGCCAATCACTTCTCTATTATTATTTGGTGTCAAAGTCACAAAAAATTGGTAAACTTAATTTAATCTGAGTTGTGTTAGGTTAGGTTAGGTACATGTACTCGATCTATTAACTCAGATTAAATTAAGTTTACCAATTTTTTGTGACTTTGACACCAAATAATAATAGAGAAGTGATTGGCAGTCCGATTTATTTATGTAGGACCATTATTTGACTTCATTGCGGCTACATTTCGGTACATTTGGTTAATTAGCCAGACCCGTCTGCTCTGATTGCTTACAGCCGACCCGTTTGGTCCGAGTGTATTCTCATGTTCACCAAAAATATAAAATTACACCGTGATACTTCAACAAACTTGCTTTCATTGGTACTGGACACCTTAGTAAGTACTTTTTGTTTAATATAGCGAGGGGTCTGGGGTGGTGGAGCCCCCAGCTAGTAAGTTAGGTTAGTTTAGGTTAAGTAGATTTCTTTGATTAGTTCAGGCTCTTAAAATACATAACTATGACAAAAACATGTGGGAAAAATGAATGAAATCAAACAATTCCTTCTGGTGGTAGCGGTTTCCTCTTATATTCCCATTTATTTACTATGAACTGCCACAGTTTTTAAGACGAGAGCTGAAATTTGGTGTGTACACAACTCCCCACTGGGTCAGTTACAGTACTCAGATGTTTTAATGCAATGCCCTAACACTACACTAAAAAATTCGTTTTTCCGTATTGACGTAAATTGTGTACCTAACATAACTCCTCTCCCTACATCACCTCACTTAAGATGTAATGAATACCTCAAGATCCACCCACACTAATCTTTCACTCAGTCTCGGTATTTTGGTGGGAATATCAGTGTGGGAGGACATGGTGCGGGGAAGGAGCTTCACGTGTGGCCTCAACAGTGACCTCCAACACCCCGCCACCATGACTGCTCCTTCACCATCACCGTGACTAAAACATTACTCCCGCTCACTGATTAATTAATTATCCTTGTATAGTTTATAATTTCACAGCTTATTATTCGTTCTGGAGGTTATTCTCTTCTTTATTACTTTATTGTGAAGTGTATTTACCGAGGAATGGAAACCGGTAGTGTCTCCTATCTGACATGTCATTTGGAAGATATGCATTATAACGCTATACTGTACTACCATCACTCCCTTAAGTAAGATACACTGACACACTGAAACAAGAGACATTTCAAGAAGAGACTCAGTCATTACGATAAACTTGTAAAATAAATAAAATAATAGTTTCAGTTCCATATGACTTGAGTGAAATATATCAGATGGATGACGGACATAGATATCTTAAGCTATTCTGCTATATTTATATCTAAGAAATTATAAATGCTTATTATAAAATATATTTATTAATGTAGAGAAAAGTTTATAATTTTCTAAAGATGTTACGGTACTCAAGGCCCGGTGTCAACAACCCTTGCTGGATGACTGTGACCGTCTCAGTTAATTATGGCTATAACTTTATAACTACAAGGTATGTAAAGATTAAGGCTGATATATTCTTGTTTTTACTGTGGCTGTGATGTAATAAAGTAGAGTAAGAGAGAGTTTATAGTCTCTTTGATGTATATTAATCTTAGCCAAAATGTGAGTTGTTCCGGCCAAGGAAAATGATTATTCATTATATCATTATTTATAATATATTTCACACATAAACTTGGTTAAATAAAATAATTCTAGAGATGTTATACACGTTTTAATTAGTACTGTATGAGAACACTGCTACCACCAGAAGGAATTTGATTTTGTTAATTTTTTCCACATATGTTCTTATCATTATAGTAAGTATTTTAAAAGAGGCGACATTTACGACAACTTAATAGCTCTGGTTTATGGTTCTTTTAATCTGACTGGTAATTGTTCCCTAAAGCTGATGAAATTGTCGGTATTATTTTAGTTTCGGTCATCTGGGGAATCTCTAGGGGGGGGGGTGTCTGGAGGGGAAGCCATCTGGTTAGGTTAGGTATATAGTTCCTGGGTTCTGTGGCTAGGTTGGGTTGGTTAGGTTAGGATAGGTTGGGTTGGTTAGGTTACATTAGGTTAGATCTAAATATAGATATGACAGAAACTAAAAATTTTATTGTCTGGTGTTAGCTGGAGTAAAATCTTAAGGGTGAAAAATATTAAAAATAATGCTGCTCTAAAAACAGAAATGCTGAAGAACACCGCTTCAAGTTAACCCCTTGTGTACAGTGTTGCTTCTGAACTGAATAAAATCATCTAGCGTTAGCCAAATTAAATATTAAAAGTTTTGTCCACCATAGTGAAGTAGTTTTCAGGACTGAGTGAGTTAAAACATTATCTTCATGTTTACTTTTTTTATATTTAGCCCCTCAGCCTCCCCGCGGTCATCATGGCGCCGGGGATAACATCAATAGATCCCAGTTCTCTCAAAGGACTGCTGGCAGAACATCAAGACATATGCACCTTAGAGTTAACAGCTGTCACAGGACTAGAAGAGGTATTTTACTTTATTATCATACATAAATAACTTGTATTAATAAAGATAAGGGAGGAGTTTTACTAACACACAAGAGCCATCTGTTGAAGGTTCACAGGTAATCTTGTATATGATGGATGTAAAATCACGGGATCCTTTGTTTACCGGTGGCCAGTCTAAGAACTTCTCGGAGCACCAGACACTGCTACACTATGTCTATCTTTCATAAAATGAACCAAAGTAACTTATGTAACCTAACCTACTTTAGACTTGATTTGTGCATAATTTACCTCCTGACTATATGAAGATCATATGCAACTGCTGTTCTGCAGTGATCCAACCAATATTCTGCCAACACTACAAACAGCAGGACAGTATTTGACACTTTGGGAAATTCCTGGATTCACCGCACTTGTAAGGAAGAGTGCCCGTAAATTTACTCCACTAAATTCAAGATTACTTAAATCCGTGGTAATACCTTCTGGTCCCAGATTTTTCAGTTGACAGACACTTTACTTTACTGTACCAACAAATGCAATAGTCTAACATTAATAATTAGTGAGCACTGTACAGTATGGTCCCTTACAAAATGTACACTGGATGAGTCTCATAAGGGAATTTTTGATACTATCATTTCAGGAACATCATTTACTGTCAAGGTCACAAACACACTTCCAAGTGTGTTACTGTTTCTGCCCCCATATGTTTTACTGATGTAATAAAGAACATTTCTAAAGTTTTCCTTTACTCAAGATGATAATCTTCAAATTTAATTTGTAGTTTGTACAGTATTCTAAATTGTTTCTCATCTGTAATGGTGAAATTTTCTTTTATTCATTACTTTTGTCTTGTTTTCTCATGCAACAGGTTGCAGCAGAGGAGTGTCAGGAGAAGCTGGGCGTTAACTGTGTTATAGCCAGAGGCAGAGTGTTTATTGACATACATGTTCAGCAAGTTCCAGAGGTAAGTAAAGCAACTTGGCCACTGTTTTAAATATGGTGATTTGCCTTTATAGTACAGTACAGTAATTACTCAAAATTTTAAATTATGAACCCAGATCCTTCATCAGCAAGTAAAAGAGTGCATTTGTATGAAATTTCAGCTAAATTCAGTGGTGTACCCAGAAATTTTCTGCAGGGGGACTTTGAACCAAACATACCAAGTCATTGTTGATATACGAGATAATTAATGTTTTTCTGTACGTTGATGATGAATTTACCTTTCATTAAGTGATGTAGTGTTCTGTACAGTATCTTAATTATATCTGGCACTTACATTATCATGGAATGAATACAGTACAGTAAATACAATTGTACATTATGTTCAACAGGGTGTTATCTAGAGACCTGCTGACCAATCTTTTCAACAGGTAAATCTGAGGAGCACCAGTTAAAGTTTGCGTAATGAGGTAAAAATTTTCTTAATAAACAAATGGTGACATGGATCTATTCACTAAAATACTAGAGAATAATTAGTGCTCTCTCCAGCACAGAAAGCCACCGATCCTTCTGCCTGTCTGCCTGTGTGGGAGGCTCCAGGAGGAGGGACACCTCCTCTTGTACCACCTCCAGCCCACGCTTCATGTATCCTGGTTGACGCCAGTGACAGGTTACTTTTCAGCCCTAGATAACATCCTGCTTCTCTCTATTAATGATAACAACATCTTGATTATCTTTTCATGCGCTTTTATTTTTTGATATAAATAAGTGTTGACTTACAGAATTATTTTTTCTTTCTTTTGTAAAATCGTGGATCAATTATGGATGAACATATAGAGAGCTGTTTTGATTTCAGGTCTTTAAGCTTCGATCCATTGACAATGTCAATGTTATACTACAGATGGTCACTAACTTCTCCTTCCCAGATAACAGGGTAAGTGAATCAGAGCATTTGTTTTTATCTGTGTGTGTACATGTGCATGTCCCGTATAAATACAGGACCCAGAGGAGGTCGGGAGATGGATAAGGTGTCACAACATCGTGTCCTCCTTTAAACCATGGTATAATTTTTTTCCCTCCAATTATCCACTTTATTTTTTATCTCTCATTCTTGCACTACTGGAATAATCATTTCATTTAATGGTCTGAAGTGGCAGAAATTCAAGTACTGTACTAGTACAATATAATAAAACTTTTGCCTCTGCCTCCACTTACAAATAGAATAAAGGCTTATATGATTGGGTTATCCTTGGTTGAATCAACTTAATGTTTGCCATAGTTTATTGTATATACAGCACAGCACATTTGTTGTTTCTGTACAAAATGAACCAGTATGAACTTATGTGACAAAAAATATAAAGTGAACAAGTATTGGGTTCATGATGGGTCGGTCTTGAGTCCCCTCCTGTTTATCATGGTGCTTGAGGCAATATAGTTTAAAGTTTCTGTAGCAGGTAGTTTCTTACCAGAATGAGCTGGTACCACATATTTACTGGTTCTTTTGTTTCTTATCTTTATTATCATTGACACATACTGTACTCTTGTACTGAAATTGAACAATGTTATTTGAAACTTTCAATTTCCCAAAACAAACCATGAGTCTTCATTAAATATCTTGCTGTCATTCTCTTTGATTTTGACCAAAAACTTTCTCTGAATATTTCAGGAGCAATGCTTTCAGCAGCTGTACAAATTTGCAGAAAAACCTGACTGGAGGAAGGGTATGAGTGTGTGGAAAAATGTCTTCAGTTTTCCTGAGGAACCCATTCAAGAGGTCAAGGCCCTGAATAATGATTATTGTAAACCTCGTCCTGATATTGATCTTAAGAGGATGAAATTGACATCACAAATAATTGACAATATCCCTGAAGGAATATTGCCACAACATCTGAAGAAGAAACGGCAGCCTGAAGAAGAACAAACAAATGCTGAGATTAATTCTGCGGTTACAGGTAAATTCTCTACCAGAGCATCTTAGAAAAAATTGTAGTTTGTGTAGTTATAGTACTGTAGGGAACATGTAGTATACTGTTGTTGTAGTCAATATTAGGTGTTCAGTGTACCACCAATGAACTCACATGTCCCCCCAAATCTATTTTTCTATAATACAGTGTAGAAAAATTTTCTTTCCTTCACCAATTGAATGATATTACTGTACACTTAGTTGGGTAGTTCATTAGTCATAGCCTGAGGCATATGACTGTCAATCCTGAGCTGTGGCTTCTTTCACACCCACATAAAAGAGTAGGAACACAACTTCATACAGACTTCTCACACATCCTACACTAAGTCTCTCCTCATTAATTCATACAATACTTTCAGGGCCCCATATTCTTCCTTACACTCCTCTATTGGCAAGTTCATCTCTTCTATTTAACAGATTTTTTATATAAATTTTCAAAGCTTCTCATCTTGAAGAGTTCAACAGATGTCAAATGATATGTTCAGAATCCATTTATCACAAACCCTGTGTCAGTGTGATATATAATAAAAATTTGTTTTACCTTCCTACCAACCCTAATTTGTGTAGGTAATGTAAAGAACCTCGGGTATATTTTATTTTGACCCGATTACTGTTATGGGTGTCAGACCAAGGGCTTTATTATTATCAATAGGCTCTTGTCCACTACCATACCACTTCAACACATCCAGTTTTATTTGAAGACTTAGTAGTTTTTCATGTTACTGTAACAACTGCTAAATGCTGGGCACTTCCTACATACCGGTACTGTACTATGGTGTATATGTTTCATGAGGGTTGTGATAAAGTTTTTAAAGTATATAACCTTGTTACTTAATAATCATAACAGTAGGTGGAAGGTCTTGGTGTGTAGCTTTATATTTTGGCTGATTTTGTATCATTTGGCTACATAACATATGGGATCCCAACAGCCTCAGTGATTGAGGGACGGGTTTTTCGACGTCCAATGCAGAAATATTTCGGCTTTTAATTTTAGTAATGCAATATTAAAGAACTTCTTTACTTGAACCCAATACAGTCCCCCATCATCCAATGCCACAAAGATGTTTTACTGTTAACATTATATACAATAAATTATAAAGTAAGCTAAGTGATTAAATAATAATTGTTGTAAGAGCTTATTTATTGATCTTGAAAGAAATTTAATAATGTTTTGAACTGTAGACACGACCGTGGAGAGTGAAGAAGATTCCTCAGAGAAGCAAAGGGTTCAAGCGTCAGGCCCCAAGTTTAGAATATCCTGTAACAGGTAACTCCATCTTGATATTGTTCTTACTTTAGCAGGGAACAGTTTGCAGGTATACGAGGAGGGGATGATTAGGAAGGTTGGGGTAATTGTAGCTTATTCTTGATTTTACTAATAAATTTTGTGTAATTATTCAAGTATCAATTAATAACTGCCAAAAGTTGCCTTGAAGTAGCAAGATGATAAAATTTGGAGAAGATTTAGTAAACCCAGTACAGTATATAATAATGGAGAAGAGAGGATTAGGACTAATAATATGAGTTGATAAACACTATGGGAAGCGTGGTTGTAGCAAGTGGGAGAAATGATTGAGCAAAAGGATAGATTAAGGCAGCTTGCTTTCAGAAGTAATATGAGTCTAAAAGAATGCAGTGTGTACCTATAGTGTGGTGAATAAGAGCTTCTACTTCTTCCACTGTTATTTCATTATCATCATCAATGTTTGACGGCCATTTTCCACATTAGCGCTGGTTAGCTGTAGATACCTGGTGACAGCTTCTCATGATGCACGGTCTCTTATCACATCAGGTTCCTAACTCTAGTGTCATTTCTTACAGCCTCCCCCCCCCCCATGTCATTCTTGGCTCACCCCTGGCTCTCTTTCCATCTCTATTTAGTCTTGTGGAGCTCTTGTTCCTAATTGATCTTCTCCATTCTCTCCATCTTAGCCTACCTTTGCATAAAAATTCACCAAGAGTCTCAATACACAGCCACTCATAGCTTTGAATAGGGTTTCCCATATTTCATTGCTGCATTACACATCCACCTCACCAATCTCATTTCATCTCACTCAAAATGTCTTGTGAAATGAGGCAGATGTTAGTTGATAAATACAGCATGTATTTATCACACAGATACAAGAGATGCTTACTGAGCAGAGAGGAAGAGTCAACAAGTATGCAGGGTTGTGTGAAGTATTTTATTAGCTGTACTTCCTGGCATGAGAAGAAAATTTACGAAGTCGTTGTCAATTATTGATTAAAGATTACAGTACCTGGAACTTTGAGAATGTGGACATCAATGGTTTACTGTATAGGGGTCCCTGGGTTACAAACAGGGTCCGTTCCTGAGGATGTTCTTAAGTCGGAACACATGCTATGTTTATATCGTACTTACAGAACAATGCTTAAAATCCCACTATACCATAGCCTAAGTCCTTATATACATTTAAAATTACTTATACCCCTGTAGTAATTTAAGACAAAAGAAGAAATAGGATGACAAAATCGAGTAAATGAAAGTAAAAATAAGTTATCTGGTAAATAAAATACTGTAAATTTCAAGTTTAACCCCATTTGTATTGGTGCACGTTCATGAAAATTAGTTGTTGGTAATCATGATGCTGTACCAGTACTGTATTATTTTTATATAAACTATGGCTGAATACTTTTGTCCATGTTTCCAGTGATGCCATTTATCAGTGTCAACTTGTACTTATAGTAATGCTTTTTAGTAAAATCATAATAGTTTTTTTTTACAAACTCCTCCATTTAAGGTCTTCTACACAGGATGGTAGTTTTTAATGATAACTGAAAGACTAAATAAAATTTGTTGTGGACATTTACATCTTGAAAATATTATTAGATAGATACTATCACCTCTAGGACTGGGACCAATCACAATTTTGGGAGCTCAGAAGCTGCTCGGCAGTTTGGTGGTGCTGTAAATGAGATGTTTGGTTGGCCTGTAGACCTCTCCTGTTTCGAGCTAGAGATTCTGCTCTATATTGACACAGGTAAGATGACACAAGTGTTTTATGTTGATACATCTGCTTAAACGTCAGTACACTAGCAGGCATCACCACACATTTTTACCTAAATCATATCAATAACACAAACACCCAAATATTCAAAATACAGTACATACCTACACACTGTACATAACACAAGTGTTAATTATGGACCACAACCCCATACAGACATCCATGTCACACACCCATATATACAAACACACTCAACACAGCTATACTGTTTGCATTTGTTCTCAGTTGTAGGAAATATCAGAGTCAAGAGGAGGATCTATCATCATATGAATGGAACTCTTACCCTCAGTAGTGCCTTCAAAGAGGATGAAAAGCCAATTGATAGTAGAGTTATACTGAATTGAAAATCACACCTTAATTATATATTTTTTTCTTGTATAGAGTTTTGCTTCTGATTTCCATAGTGGTCTTGGCCTTCCAGATTCAGATAGATATGGTAACACATTATCTGTCAACACTAACTTCATTTACATTCATCAACCATGTGAAGGCTTTTACCTTTCCCCAGAATTTGTGTATGTTGGAGTGTGCCTTACCAGAGAGCCACTGTTTAAACGCAACCTCACCAATTTTGGGCGTACAAACTTGCGCTCAACCATCTGTTACAACATGGTTCGCTTGGCAGCACCACAGCCCGGGGAGGTGATAGTAGACCCGCTGTGTGGTGGAGCAACTATACCCATGGAGGTAAGCAAATACCTGTATATCAGATATACTTAGAAATTAACAAAAATGACCAAGTGAAGATACTGATGAACAAACTTAGCCCAAACAGCTCTAGATACCTGTATAAGGTTCCATACAGGAGTACCAAATTTTATATCAATCAGTAAGGGCTCTTTAAATTACTTGGTAGACACAAAATACCATACGGATGAAATTAATATAATTAACCGCCTTGTATGCCCTCAAATTTTATGGTGGGAACATATCAGACAATTTCTTTATTTGTTTTTATGGTACTGTACTGTACTAGCTTTTACAGTTGCAGGGTATTAAACATATTTTTCTGTCATTAATTTAGAACTGCCCATTACTGAGAAATTAAATTTTCTTTGTTATTTAGTGAGAACGCTCTTGGGAACTTTGTGTTTCCTATGTGGTTATCAGCATATACATGGATCACGTGCACCTACAGTGATTTATTTGCTTAGTGAGAATCTTCATCAACTCGAGCAGCTGGGACAGCTTAGTTTAGTTACTTTTAGTTTCAATGAGTTCACTTTAGTCTTAAGAAGGTCATAGTAAGTGGATTTGGTAGATCATAGGAGTTTATCAGTAAAAAAAATCCGTTTGCCTCCATCAGTGAGCAAATGGCACACAGATGCTGATGCCGGTAAAAATATGCAAATGATAATAATAAATATGTCCTATTTCAAGATACACGTAATACCAATATTTGTTTCTCAACAGGGTAGTCTCACGTACTCTAAAGTGTTACACCTTGGTGGAGACAACTTCGGACAAGCCGTGAAACGCAGCCGAGATAATATTGATTATCTAGTGAAGAAAGGGAAATCTATGCCCATTGATGTTGCACAGTGGGATGCAGCCAGACTGCCTCTCAGGAACCAGTGTGTTGATATCATCGTGTCAGATTTACCTTTTGGAAAACGCATCGGTAGCAAAGGAGATAATCGTGTCCTTTATTACAATTCACTTCTGGAGATGGCAAGGATAACCAGAACAGGAACTGGTCGGGCAGTACTGCTCACACATGACCGCAACAGCATGATGAGGGTAAGTTACAGTCTTACTCAGTTTTAGGAACCAGTTGTTGCCCCCTGAATGGGAAATGTTCATTATATGTACAACTTCCAAGGAAATGTTACATTAATATATACTACAGCCATTAGGCTCAAGATGCTTTAGGTCAAGGCTTTTCTATGTTCCTCAATCATTATGGTGTCGTAGAATAATTTTAGACGTAAAGTGCCTAAACATGAGGACCCAATACTGGTCACCCTTGTTTATGCTGAGCTAAGATTCACATACAGTACCCTATGTATGGACATCTTACCTGTGTGTAATATTTCAAGGGAAATGTCTCTTGCACCTGGAGCAGACCCAGACTTCCTCTTTGTACAGTACTGTTTCGTTTGGCATCTTCACAAAACTCAGTGTTGTTAATAGTAAACAAATACTTCTCTTTCTCCTGTTATTTGTCTATTTATATTTTATTTAAAAAAAAGGCTCCTTATATTATATTTCACTTGAGATACTCTACTACTTAAAATTTATATTGTACACAAATGTGCAGGTACAGTAAACAGAATTACAGTACAGTACAAGGTGCAGCTCATGTTCGAACATTCTCTATGAAAAATTTTTGCATCTTTATTAAAAAAATTTAGTTCCTTGTTTTTGTAAATAAATCTACTCTTTTTTACCTTTCTTACTTAATTTCTATATATTTAGTTTTGTCGAACTGTGTTTTTAATTCTGAATTTTATGTATTTTCTTCCAGAATATTAAGAGAGTTCATACCCTCTGGAAAAGTGCTACTTCACGGACCATTAATATTGGCGGACTTTCTGCTGTAATTTATATATTACATCGAACCGCTTTACTTTTTGACCCAAACTTGAAAATTGCATCAAAGACTCATAAGAAACCCTCTGAGCCAGGTGAGTTTTGATGTGTAATGAAACATTTTATCTTTACCAATGTAATAGAAAGCAATTTTTAATAAATATAGTTATGCAGTACTGTGTGCTTTGATTATTCTTCTTGTGGACATTTATTATAACATGACAATGGTAATATTTATTAATATTCTGCATTATTAAAAAAATTGTGAGGGAGGGATGATTTAAGCTCAAGAATAGAGCTTCTTTGTTCAATATATATTTTACTTTATAGACAAATGAAAAGGGCTAGAGAGGGGTCAAGGCCACTATATTATCCCAACTTAACAAATATATAACCAACTTGACTAAAGGTACTGAAAACCTTATATCTAGACACTCAGGCAGTCCCTGTACAAGTGTTTACAAAGTATGGAATGAGTTTTTTAATCCTGAGCCAGATCTTATTATCTGGACTTTCCATTAAATGTTTGCGTGACATCTGGACTGTGTAGTTTTCTGGCTGAGATTTACATTTCAAATAACTGCAGGTGTAGTATTTCAATATTTGGCCGTGATCACAAACTTAACCCTTTGAGGACGAGAGGTTTAAATCATCATCTTTAAAAGGGTAAAACATTGACCTAAAATTTCTAAAACTAAATACAGTACTTGTGAAACAATATAAAAATCTGGTCAAGTTCCAGTACAGCCTGCCCTCGGTTCATAACATGTAAATGGAGATTTAAAAGAAAATACTAAGGGCCTATGGGAGTGTCCTGAAGATGTTTTGCACGAGTGGGCCACAATAAAGTGTTTAGTGTTGTTGTTATTGCTGCACTTCAACAACTAAGGTCTCTAAGTACATTACGAGGACAGTTATTAGATTTTACATCAACAAATAAAATTTTTGAAAGATAAAACTGGTCAAGTGTGTGAGGGGGGAATAAACATAACAAATAAATAAAATAATACATAGGACTGCAAATCAGTACAGTAGACCTCTTATGAAACCACTAATTTTACAATAAAACATACATAAATGAGGTTTAAAATTAAAAAAAAATAATACCAGCTGATGAAAATAGAGGCATAACACCACTACTTTTTCACTTACATTCTACGAGGATGGAAATAATAAGGGTTACTATTATAAAAGAATATACGATCACTTGAATATATCCAAATAATCAACATTAACATAACACACTTCAAATTAAAAAAAAAAAAAAATCTTTACACGAAGTTACTGGATGTGCTATTATAGAAATCATATATAAAACAATTATTAATACAGTACTGTGTTTGTTGACACTGAAAACAAATATATGATCACATGTGAAAATACTAATACAGTGACCCCTCCGTTAACGAACTCAATCCGTTCCAGAAGGTCGTTCGTTAACCGAAAAGTTCATTAACCGAAACCATTGTTTCAATGGGTTTTTGGGTAATTGGTTCCAGCTCACCGAAAATTTCCTAAATTCAACAAAAATGGTAGAAAAGTTCACTTACTTTGAGGTGTGTATGTAGAAGGCTCCTGGATGATGATGATGATGATGGGATTTAGAATGGGGGTTAGGGTGACAATAGTGCATAGGGGTGAATTTCTAAAATTGATTAAATGGAATGGCCATTGGTCCAATACTGCGTACCCATGAAAAAAGAACACAGGCGAAATCCTGGGTCATTTGGACAATATTTAGAGGTAGCTCAAGTCAATTGAAGTTTTATCCTTTTGGCAAAAAATACGAATATTCATAATATGCCGGTTTATTTTAAAATTTACATATTGAGCAAGTTTATGTGTACACTGTACATATAAATGATTAATTCCTTTTTAAAATGAAACTGCAGTGAACACGCTTACATCAATGGGTGGGAGAGGTGTGGACAACCCATTCATTGTTTTCGCTTTTTGCTTGTAAGGTCCTGTTTTGATGTCCCTGGTTGTGACCGCCTCTGCTCTTCAACAACCTGCAGCAGATGTTGACGCTGGTCTTCACTCTTCGTGATCTTGCTGTTGAATGCCTGTATCAAGGCAATCCCTCTCTCTGCAGTGTCGTTGATGACTCTGAGACCACCCACAACTGCGACGCCAGTTTTGAAGTCTTCATCATCAGACCATGTGTCAGGTTCCTTGGACAAAAAAGAAGTCTTCATTTTGAGACTTTCAAATAGAAAGTTTGATCCTCTAGAAGCAAAGTCTGAGAGCTGCTTTGTGGGAAGGGAAGATGTGGCAGGAAGAGCAGCACGTTTTGGTGAATCCTCGGTCGCCTTCCTCTCAACGATTGCCCGAACTATGTTTGTCTTCATTGTTGCATTAACTTGTGGATCGAAGAGTGCAAGACCCACCAAGCCTTCACTGAGGTACCACAGGTGACGACCGAAGACTGTGAGACATGTTCTTGATATTTTGACGTCGTGGTACTCTGACAGGTCTTGGAGGAGCCGCAAATCATTAGCAGGAGCGGAGGATGGAACGGAGGCCGTGAACCATGCACTGACATACACCTCTAGCACAAAGAATGTGAATCGTTTCAAGCCTAATGTCTCACGAGCAGTTAGTTTAAACTGATTAGCAAAAATCAGGATCTTCATGACATAAATGAGCTTAGCCATCCACCGTGCTCGGTGAAGTGCTCCGGGCCGTCGGAGATTAAACTTGGGTAGAGCTCCATCGAGACACCTGATTGCTAGCTCCAGTACCTCACGGTAATCATCACGTGGCTGCTGCTTCTTGCCCAGATGATGTTTCCAGCAACAGATGAGGTCATCTCGTTTCTCGTACAAACTTGGAGGGAGGTCTGAGAGAGGGCTGTAGTCATCTTGACTGATGTCCTTCCACTTATGCTTGAAGCGAGAGAAGAGAGTATTATCTGGTCCAGAGGAAGGCCCCATGCATTCCACATATGCTTTCTCGGCAACAAGCTCAAGGATGTGGTGACGACACGCGAGATGCAGAAGACGGCGGCCGAGTTTCTGCTCCAGAATGACACATGCCCCCGACAAGTGCCCAGTGTTTGAAGCTGTTGTGTCAAAACTGAGTGCTGAAACATTCTCTGATATTTTCCACTCTTCCAGCGCTGCACTGACTGCTGTAGCAATGGCCTGTCCAGTCCCTGACAATAGTTTCGGGACACCAAGCAGCTTTTCAGTATTGATTCCGGAGACAAGAATGGCGATTCGGTCAACACTCGCTCCTTGTTCATCAGGAATAATTTTTCCATCCCAGTGCACAGTGAGCACTTCACTAGGTTGAAATTTTTCTTTAATTTCGTTGGCAATCCCAGAACGGTGGGTCGCTCGCGAAGTACGCACTGTCTCATAGTTTAAAACTAGTTCCATTGGGTCATGACCTAGACTAGCAGCCGTGGCACTGACGATCCGGAGAGCAGAGCGGTGACTGATCCCAGTGCGGTCCAATGTACTTGACAATTCAGGGGTGATAACTTTGAGAGTAGCACGTTTACGATTGGAAGAAGATACCACTGGTGATATCGCTAGGGAACTTGTAGATGATGACGAGCTTGATTGTGATTCTGTTTCAGACGAAGAACCCAACTCATCATATTCAAGAGCAGAACTGGCTTGATTCTGTTGTAGAGATTGCTTACTCTTGCTTTCTTCCCGACGCTTGATGGAACAAGCAATCTTTTTGTCTACTCCTGCCATTACACCTCTTCTCCCTTTTTCTCGTTGCGCTGCCAGGAATGCTCGGTCTTCTTTGATGGTCAAGAGCTGCATTGCCTTGGGGTGGGCAACATCGAAGAGGTCCTCTAACTCATCACAAAAAGTTTCCTCTTTCTTACGTTGTGTGTCTGTAGTGCGAGTGCAGTTTTTCTTAAGTCCCTTCCACATTAAAAAAAGATCCACTACCTTTCGTCCAATACTCTTCTCAGTTATGGTAGGAATCCGTGCTTTATTCCAGAAACTAATAACCGATGCTGCAACTTCACTCGCAGAATCATTCACTGTTTTCTTATGTTCATTGTGACCGTGGAAAAACAGACGTAGAACATCTCCTCTTGAAGGAAGTTGTGCACCCGTGATTTCGGTTATGTGTTGACCAATGAGCCAAACTTCAGTTTTTGAACGTGTACTCTCCATTGAACCTGAAACAAACAAAAACATTTATGTAACTTATGTTGTTACTGTTATGCAAACAACAGCACCCATAAAGCATACGGCATGCAAGATCACTTGTATAAAGTTTTTAAAGTGTTATATACCTAAATTGATGCATTGATTTTAGACAAAGACAATGGTACTAACCGTAATACTGCAACAAGAGCGACGCACACACACCCACCGTCACGTCTCACACACAACTGTTGCTACTGTACCAGTCAGACACTGGCACACAACCTCTTCCCCCTACCCCGACTGACACCCGCCTCTCCCTCCCCTCTGCATTGCCAATAGCTGCACCAGCCAAAATACTCATTACTCATTTTTAGAAAAAATGTTAGGAACAACTTTAGTTTGAATTTGCATTCTACATATACCTGCAAAGTTTCATAGTAATCAGTTCATAAATAAAGAAATTAGAAAAAATCAATAATAATTTCAGTAGTGTTAACTTCAAATGGCTTGAGCCACCTCTAAATATTGTCCAAATGACCCAGGATTTCGCCTGTGTTCTTTTTTCATGGGTATGCAGTATTGGACAAATGGCCATCTAAAAATAAAAACTTTCACTTTTTATTGTCACCCTACTACCCCCTTTAGTGAATATGTAATGTTTGCTGATGATATTACTCAAATAGTATCATACCCAGGAAAATCAACTCAATTTATGGCACTCTACACGGTAAGAGCGATAAAAAACATAAATGATTTTGAGAAAAAATGGAAAATCAGGACAAATAAGAACAAATTCAAGATAATACCAATAGCCAAGATTAAAACAAGTCCAGTAATAGTCGACCAGGAACTATACCCATACGACACTGAAGGCAGGATGCTTGGATTAAAACTAACAAAAAGAGGATATATAACATACTTAAAAGATAAAGAACGACAGGCATGAATAAGATTATCAAAAATAAAACGCTTTAAGAACCTTAGCATTAATAACAAAAGAAACATTTATATTGCCCTTGTCAAATCAATTATGGACTACCCACCCATCCCATTGA